TTCTCTCTCGAGCCTCTGATTCTCTCTTGAACTTAAGCTTCGAGCGGATGGCTTGCGTTTTGCTCGGTTCAGCTGCGAGACGACGATCCGAACACTGGTGTTTGCGATCTGATGACCCTTCCTCATCACTCGTACATCGCAATCTGCATGTCTAACGGACGTGTTGTGGTCGTCATGGAGGCGTATCGTTCTGATCCGGTCCAGGATACGTATCAGGAACATCAAGCTTTGAGCCGGTGGGTAGTAGTGACCAGTCATTGATTGCAACGCTTATCATGAACCTCGTCGCGTACTGCCATGACATGCGAGACGGCACGCGAGACGGTCTGAGTGGTTCAGCGTAGTTGCATGACGGAGGTCAGAAGAAGCCGACGCCGAATCAGGTATCGGGCGTATGATCGCAGCCGTTTGGACCACTTTTCACTTTACCTTCACGTAGTCAGCAACTCCGAAAGCAACGACAACTCCACCTACGACAGCTGCGGTATTCGTATCCTCATGACACACGTTACACGCATCCAAGACTACCGACCTCAGCCAGTTTGTCAAGAGACCAAATGTAGTCGTAAGCATAAAGTGTTCGCATCTCCTGCAAACTTGACATCGCGTATGATTCAGTTCATCTTTCGACGTCGGAAACGCACACAACATGAGCCATCCAAGTCTTGGCCAGGACGAGATGATTGCGTCGCCGTTGTGGAGCCAGTCCCTGCAAGTCGGCCGCCAGCAAGCACGAGTATTGCGATTCCTAGCAGCTCATCGGTATCGAGAAAGCTGACACCGGATCGAGTACCAAGACAAAGATCGGCTGATAAAGGCACGCACAGAGCTGGCAGTTGGCGCCAACGACAGACGTACTGCGCCAACTGCCAGCGTCTTTTCTTCACGTCGCTGTCCTCCCTCAGAAGCATAGCAGGTGCATTCTGCTCGCTGGACTGCAAGACCAATCTCGAGTACATACACCAGCTCCAGGACGTGACGTACACGCAGACGTGGGAGAGCAGCACAATCAGCAGCGGGTTGGAAGACGCGATACACGATACAAAAGCGAACACCTCGTGAATACCGGTGTTGATGATCTGGACCGATTTGGACCTCGTGCGTCGTGCATCGGTAGTCAGATAGACGTTGTGACATCGGACGGAGAAGGCTACACTAGACTTGACCGTTGGTAGGATGGAGGAGTAAGACAAAGAGCATCCTTATTTATCCAGACGAAAGACAACTTGAAGTGAGTCGTTTTGATGGCTGTGATTGGCCAGGCTGAACATGGAGGCGTCAAGCATGACCACGGTGGTCTCATCATCCTTGACGAAGTATCCAGGTGAATCATCAGACCAACTTGCGAGGTCGGAATGTCGATATAACGTTGCATGACCACACGAAGAATCAACATTGAAATGCGCGTCACTTCTGTATGCTCCGCCAATATGCAGTCCACTGGGTGAGCACAAGGCGGTCATCGTCAATGCACCGGCCGTGATACCACTGTAAACGGATGTGAGCTACTGAGTGCTGTGTCTGCATCAGAGAGACCATGTGCGTGTTTGACGATGACAGATACTGAGTCTTCGATTGGCGTTTACGTGATCGCTTGTCGGTCGGATCAGCTCTCTTTTGTCTTGCGTACAAGTGACAGTAGATTGGATCAAATCCGACGTACTGTCTTGTGCGCTAAAACTCGACACCTCTTTTGTCGGAGTATGCTGCCTCGACATCACCACCATCAATCGTGAGAATCAATGGTGCAGAAGCTTGGCAACGCGTAAGATGATGCAATACCCTTTGACATCCTTGCCATAAGACGACTTTCATCTGCTAGTGGCCCTCGTGCATGCGACTGATTGAGAATCCGTTTGCATGTTCACGAATCAAAATCAAACGATTCCGTCCGTATATCGATGACGTTTCGTGCTCATATGACTTCAGGAGCTCATCAGTGTGCTACATGTCACTGCTCGACGTGCACCTTGCATAATTGTGCAGGACATCAATCCAGACAGCGGTTTAGGCGACACGTCTGTCGGCTAGTGTCGACACAAGCGCTGAGCGCTACGAGGCATGTAATACGATCCTATGGCTTTCGTGCTTCCGTATCTACCGCCTTAGTTGTGCAGCATTGTTCGACATCACTTGGTGTATCATCGCGAACTCGCAGCAACTCGTCCCATGCAAGCCTCTGATTCTCTCTCGAGCCTCTGATTCTCTCTTGAACTTAAGCTTCGAGCGGATGGCTTGCGTTTTGCTCGGTTCAGCTGCGAGACGACGATCCGAACACTGGTGTTTGCGATCTGATCGCCCCTCCTCGTCACTTAAACATCGCAATCTGCATGTCTAACGGACGTGTTGTGGTCGTCATGGAGGCGTATCGTTCTGATCCGGTCCAGGATACGTATCAGGAACATCAAGCTTTGAGGCGGTGGGTAGTAGTGACCAGTCATTGATTGCAACGCTCATCATGAACCTCGTCGCGTACTGCCATGACATGCGAGACGGCACGCGAGACGGTCTGAGTGGTTCAGCGTAGTTGCATGACGGAGGTCAGAAGAAGCCGACATCGAATCAGGTATCGGGCGTATGATCGCAGCCGTTTGGACCACTTTTCACTTTACCTTCACGTAGTCAGCAACTCCGGAAGCAACGACAACAGCTACTACGACAGCTGTGGTATTCGTATCCTCATGACACACGTTACACGCATCAAAGACTACCGACCTCAGCCAGTTTGTCAAGAGACCAAATGTAGTCGTAAGCATAAAGTGTTCGCATCTCCTGCAAACTTGACATCGCGTATGATTCAGTTCATCTTTCGACGTCGGAAACGCACACAACATGAGCCATCCAAGTCTTGGCCAGGACGAGATGATTGCGTCGCCGTTGTGGAGCCAGTCCCTGCAAGTCGGCCGCCAGCAAGCACGAGTATTGCGATTCCTAGCAGCTCATCGGTATCGAGAAAGCTGACACCGGATCGAGTACCAAGACAAAGATCGGCTGATAAAGGCACGCACAGAGCTGGCAGTTGGCGCCAACGACAGACGTACTGCGCCAACTGCCAGCGTCTTTTCTTCACGTCGCTGTCCTCCCTCAGAAGCATAGCAGGTGCATTCTGCTCGCTGGACTGCAAGACCAATCTCGAGTACATACACCAGCTTCAGGACGTGACGTTCAAGCAGACATGGGAGAGCAGCACAATCAGCAGCGGATTGGAAGACGCGATGTGTGAAACAAAAGCGAACACCTCGCGGGTGATTACCGGTGTTGACGATTTGGACCGATTTGGTCCTCGTGCGTCGTGCGTCGGTAGTCAGATAGACTTTAAGACGGAGAAGGCTACACTAGACCTGACCGTTGGTAGGATGAAGGAGTAAGACAAAGAGCATCCTTATTTATCCACGCAAATGACAACTTGAAGTGAGTCGTTTTGATGGCTGTGATTGTCCAGGTTGAACATGGAGGCGTCAAGCATGACCACGGTGGTCCCATCTATCGTCCTTGACGCAGTGTCCAGGTGAATCATCAGACCAACTTGCGAGGTCGGAATGTTGATATAACGTTGCATGACCACACGAAGAATCAACATTGAAATGCGCGGCACTGCTGTACACTCCGCCAGTATGCAGTCCACTGGGTGAGCACAAGTCGGTCATCGTTAATACACCAGCCGTGATACCACTGTAAACGGATGTGAGCTACTGAGTGCTGTGTCTGCATCAGAGAGACCATGTGCGTGTTCGACGATGACAGATACTAGGTCTTAGATTGGCGTTTACGTGATCGCTTGTCGGTCGGATCAGCGCTCTTTTGTCTTGCGTACAAGTGACAGTAGATTGGATCAAATCCGATGTTCTGTCTTGAGCGCTGAAACTCGACTCCTCTTTTGTCGGAGTATGTCGCCTCGACATCACCACCATCAATCGTGAGAATCAATGGTGCAGAAGCTTGGCAACGCGTAAGATGATGCAATACCCTTTGACATCCGTGCCATAAGACGACTTTCATCTTCTAGTGGTCTTCGTGCATGCGACTGATTGAGAATCCGTTCGCATGTTCACGAATCAAAATCAAACGATTCCGTCCGTATTTCGATGACGTTTCGTGCTCCTATGACTTCACGAGTTCATCAGTATACTACATGTCACTGCTCGACGTGCACCTTGCATAACCGTGCAGGACATCAATCCAGACAGCGATTCAGGCGACACGTCTGTCGGCTAGTGTCGACACAAGCGCTGAGCGCTACGAGGCATGTAATACGATCCTATGGCTTTCGTGCTTCCGTATCTACCGCCTTAGCTTGTGCAGCATTGTTCGACATCACTTGGTGTATCATCGCGAACTCGCAGCAACTCGTCCCATGCAAGCCTCTGATTCTCTCTCGAACTTAAGCTTCGAGCGGATGGCTTGCGCTTTTGCTCGGTTCAGCAGCGAGACGGCGATCCGAACACTGGTGCTTGCGATCTGATCGCCCTTCCTCATCACTGGTACATCGCAATCTGCATGTCGAACGGACGTGTTGTGGTCGTCATGGAGGCGTATCGTTCTGATCCGGTCCAGGATACGTATCAGGAACATCAGCCTCTGAGCCATTGGGTAGTGAGTAACCAGTCATTGATTGCAACGCTCATCATGAACCTCGTCGCGTACTACCATGATATGCGAGACGGCACGCGAGACGGTCTGAGTGGTTCAGCGTAGTTGCATGACGGAGGTCAGAAGAAGCCGACGTCGAATCAGGTATCGGGTGTATGATCGCAGCCGTTTGGACCACTTTTCACTTTACCTTCACGTAGTCAGCAACTCCGAAAGCAACGACAACTCCACCTACGACAGCTGCGGTATTCGTATCCTCATGACACACGTTACACGCATCCAATACTACCGACCTCAGCCAGTTTGTCAAGAGACCAGATGTCGTCGCAAGCATGAAGTGTTCGCATCTCCTGCAAACTTGAAATCGCGTATGATCCAGTTCATCTTTCGACGTCGTAGACGCACACAAAATGAGCAATCCAAGTATTGGCCAGGACGAGATGATTGCGTCGCCGTTGTGGAGCCAGTCCCTGCAAGTCGGCCGCCAGCCAGCAGGAGTGTTGCAATTCCCAGCAGCTCGTCGGTATCGAGAAAGCTGACATCGGATCGAGCACCGAGACAAAGATCGACTGATGAACGCACGCACAGAGCTGGCAGTTGGCGCCAACGACAGACGTACTGCGCCAACTGCCAGCGTCTTTTCTTCACGTCGCTGTCCTCCCTCAGAAGCATAGCAGGTGCATTCTGCTCGCTGGACTGCAAGACCAATCTCGAGTACATACACCAGCTTCAGGACGTGACGTTCAAGCAGACATGGGAGAGCAGCACAATCAGCAGCGGATTGGAAGACGCGATGTATGAAACAAAAGCGAACACCTCGCGGGTGATTACCGGTGTTGACGATTTGGACCGATTTGGACCTCGTGCGTCGTGCATCGGTAGTCAGATAGACGTTGTGATATCGGACGGAGAAGGCTACACTAGACTTGACCGTTGGTAGGATGGAGGAGTAAGACAAAGAGCATCCTTATTTATCCACGCAAATGACAACTTGAAGTGAATCGTTTTGATGGCTGTGATTCGCCAGGCCGAACGTGGAGGCGTCAAGCATGACCACGGTGGTCTCATCCGCATTGACGAAGTATCCAGGTGAATCATCAGACCAACTTGCGAGGTCGGAATGTCGATATAACGTTGCATGACCACACGAAGAATCAACATTGAAATGCGCGTCACTACTGTATGCTCCGCCAGTATGCAGTCCACTGGGTGAGCACAAGTCGGTCATCGTTAATACACCAGCCGTGATACCACTGTAAACGGATGTGAGCTACTGAGTGCTGTGTCTGCATCAGAGAGACCATGTGCGTGTTCGACGATGACAGATACTAGGTCTTAGATTGGCGTTTACGTGATCGCTTGTCGGTCGGATCAGCGCTCTTTTGTCTTGCGTACAAGTGACAGTAGATTGGATCAAATCCGATGTTCTGTCTTGAGCGCTGAAACTCGACACCTCTTTTGTCGGAGTATGTCGCCTCGACATCACCACCATCAATCGTGAGAATCAATGGTGCAGCAGCTTGGCAACGCGTAAGATGGTGCAATACCCTTTGACATCCTTGGAGTAAGACGACTTTCATCTGCTAGTGGCCCTCGTGCTGGCGACTGATTGAGAATCCGTTTGCATGTTCACGAATCAAAATCAAACGATTCCGTCCGTATATCGATGACGTTTCGTGGTCAAATGACTTCAGGAGCTCATCAGTGTGCTACATGTCACTGCTCGACGTGCACCTTGCATAACCGTGCAGGACGTCGATCCAGACGGCGATTCAGGCGACACGTCTGTCGGCTAGTGTCGACACAAGCGCTGAGCGCTACGAGGCATGTAATACGATCCTATGGCTTTCGTGCTTCCGTATCTACCGCCTTAGTTCGCGCATCATTGTCCGGCATCACTTGGTGTATCATCGCGAACTCGCAGCAACTCGTCCCATGCAAGCCTCTGATTCTCTCTCGAGCCTCTGATTCTCTCTTGAACTTAAGCTTCGAGCGGATGGCTTGCGTTTTTGCTCGGTTAAGCTGCGAGACGGCGATCCGGGCACATGTGCTGGCGATCTGATGACCCTTCCTCATCACTCGTACATCGCAATCTGCATGTCTAACGGACGTGTTGTGGTCGTCATGGAGGTGTATCGTTCTGATCCGGTCCAGGATACGTATCAGGAACATCAGCCTCTGAGCCATTGGGTAGTGAGTAACCAGTCATTGATTGCAACGCTCATCATGAACCTCGTCGCGTACTGCCATGACATGCGAGACGGCACGCGAGACGGTCTGAGTGGTTCAGCGTAGTTGCATGACGGAGGTCAGAAGAAGCCGACGCCGAATCAGGTATCGGGCGTATGATCGCAGCCGTTTGGACCACTTTTCACTTTACCTTCACGTAGTCAGCAACTCCGAAAGCAACGACAACTCCACCTACGACAGCTGCGGTATTCGTATCCTCATGACACACGTTACACGCATCCAAGACTACCGACCTCAGCCAGTTTGTCAAGAGACCAGATGTCGTCGCAAGCATGAAGTGTTCGCATCTCCTGCAAACTTGAAATCGCGTATGATCCAGTTCATCTTTCGACGTCGTAGACGCACACAAAATGAGCAATCCAAGTCTTGGCCAGGACGAGATGATTGCGTCGCCGTTGTGGAGCCAGTCCCTGCAAGTCGGCCGCCAGCCAGCAGGAGTGTTGCAATTCCCAGCAGCTCGTCGGTATCGAGAAAGCTGACATCGGATCGAGCACCGAGACAAAGATCGACTGATGAACGCACGCACAGAGCTGGCAGTTGGCGCCAACGACAGACGTACTGCGCCAACTGCCAGCGTCTTTTCTTCACGTCGCTGTCCTCCCTCAGAAGCATAGCAGGTGCATTCTGCTCGCTGGACTGCAAGACCAATCTCGAGTACATACACCAGCTTCAGGACGTGACGTTCAAGCAGACATGGGAGAGCAGCACAATCAGCAGCGGATTGGAAGACGCGATGTGTGATACAAAAGCGGACACCTCGCGGGTGATTACCGGTGTTGACGATTTGGACCGATTTGGTCCTCGTGCGTCGTGCGTCGGTAGTCAGAGAGACGGAGAAGGCTACACTTGACCTGACCGTTGGTAGGATGAAGGAGTAAGACAAAGAGCATCCTTATTTATCCACGCAAATGACAACTTGAAGTGAGTCGTTTTGATGGCTGTGATTGTCCAGGTTGAACATGGAGGCGTCAAGCATGACAACAGTGGTCCCATCTATCGTCCTTGACGCAGTGTCCAGGTGAATCATCAGACCAACTTGCGAGGTCGGAATGTCGATATAACGTTGCATGACCACACGAAGAATCAACATTGAAATGCGCGGCACTGCTGTACACTCCGCCAGTATGCAGTCCACTGGGTGAGCACAAGTCGGTCATCGTTAATACACCAGCCGTGATACCACTGTAAACGGATGTGAGCTACTGAGTGCTGTGTCTGCATCAGAGAGACCATGTGCGTGTTCGACGATGACAGATACTAGGTCTTAGATTGGCGTTTACGTGATCGCTTGTCGGTCGGATCAGCGCTCTTTTGTCTTGCGTACAAGTGACAGTAGATTGGATCAAATCCGATGTTCTGTCTTGAGCGCTGAAACTCGACACCTCTTTTGTCGGAGTATGTTGCCTCGACATCACCACCATCAATCGTGAGAATCAACGGTGCAGCAGCTTGGCAACGCGTAAGATGGTGCAATACCCTTTGACATCCTTGGAGTAAGACGACTTTCATCTTCTAGTGGTCTTCGTGCATGCGACTGATTGAGAATCCGTTTGCATGTTCACGAATCAAAATCAAACGATTCCGTCCGTATATCGATGACGTTTCGTGCTCCTATGACTTCACGAGTTCATCAGTATACTACATGTCACTGCTCGACGTGCATCTTGCATAACCGTGCAGGACATCGATCCAGACAGCGATTCAGGCGACATGACTGTCGGCTAGTGTCGACACAAGCGCTGAGCGCTACGAGGCATGTAATACGATCCTATGGCTTTCGTGCTTCCGTATCTACCGCCTTAGTTTGCTCAGTGTTGTTCGACATCACTTGGTGTATCATCGCGAACTCGCAGCAACTCGTCCCATGCAAGCCTCTGATTCTCTCTCGAGCCTCTGATTCTCTCTTGAACTTAAGCTTCGAGCGGATGGCTTGCGTTTTGCTCGGTTCAGCTGCGAGACGACGATCCGAACACTGGTGTTTGCGATCTGATCGCCCTTCCTCATCACTGGTACATCGCAATCTGCATGTCTAACGGACGTGTTGTGGTCGTCATGGAGGTGTATCGTTCTGATCCGATCCAGGATACGTATCAGGAACATCAGCCTCTGAGCCATTGGGTAGTGAGTGAGTGACCAGTCATTGATTGCAACGCTCATCATGAAACTCGCCGCGTACTACCATGACATGCGAGACGGCACACGAGGCGGTCTGAGTGGTTCAGCGTAGTTGCATGACGGAGGTCAGAAGAAGCCGACGTCGAATCAGGTATCGGGCGTATGATCGCAGCCGTTTGGACCACTTTTCACTTTACCTTCACGTAGTCAGCAACTCCGAAAGCAACGACAACAGCTACCTACGACAGCTGCGGTATTCGTATCCTCATGACACACGTTACACGCATCAAAGACTACCGACCTCAGCCAGTTTGTAAAGAGACCAAATGTAGTCGTAAGCATAAAGTGTTCGCATCTCCTGCAAACTTGACATCGCGTATAATTCAGTTCATCTTTCGACGTCGGAAACGCACACAACATGAGCCATCCAAGTCTTGGCCAGGACGAGATGATTGCGTCGCCGTTGTGGAGCCAGTCCCTGCAAGTCGGCCGACAGCCAGCACGAGTATTGCAATTCCTAGCAGCTCATCGGTATCGAGAAAGCTGACACCGGATCGAGTACCAAGACAAAGATCGGCTGATAAAGGCACGCACAGAGCTGGCAGTTGGCGCCAACGACAGACGTACTGCGCCAACTGCCAGCGTCTTTTCTTCACGTCGCTGTCCTCCCTCAGAAGCATAGCAGGTGCATTCTGCTCGCTGGACTGCAAGACCAATCTCGAGTACATACACCAGATTCAGGACGTGACGTTCAAGCAGACATGGGAGAGCAGCACAATCAGCAGCGGATTGGAAGACGCGATGTATGAAACAAAAGCGAACACCTCGCGGGTGATTACCGGTGTTGACGATTTGGACCGATTTGGACCTCGTGCGTCGTGCATCGGTAGTCAGATAGACGTTGTGACATCGGACGGAGAAGGCTACACTAGACGTGACCGTTGGTAGGATGGAGGAGTAAGACAAAGAACATCCTTATTTATCCAGACGAAAGACAACTTGAAGTGAGTCGTTTTGATGGCTGTGATTCGCCAGGTCGAACGTGGAGGCGTCAAGCATGACCACGGTGGTCTCATCCGCATTGACGAAGTATCCAGGTGAATCATCAGACCAACTTGCGAGGTCGGAATGTCGATATAACGTTGCATGACCACACGAAGAATCAACATTGAAATGCGCGTCACTACTGTATGCTCCGCCAATATGCAGTCCACTGGGTGAGCACAAGGCGGTCATCGTCAATACACCAGCCGTGATACCACTGTAAACGGATGTGAGCTACAGAGTGCTGTGTCTGCATCAGAGAGACCATGTGCGTATTTGACGATGACAGATACTGAGTCTTCGATTGGCGTTTACGTGATCGCTTGTCGGTCGGATCAGCTCTCTTTTGTCTTGCGTACAAGTGACAGTAGATTGGATCAAATCCGACGTACTGTCTTGTGCGCTAAAACTCGACACCTCTTTTGTCGGAGTATGTTGCCTCGACATCACCACCATCAATCGTGAGAATCAACGGTGCAGCAGCTTGGCAACGCGTAAGATGGTGCAATACCCTTTGACATCCTTGGAGTAAGACGACTTTCATCTTCTAGTGGTCTTCGTGCATGCGACTGATTGAGAATCCGTTTGCATGTTCACGAATCAAAATCAAACGATTCCGTCCGTATATCGATGACGTTTCGTGCTCATATGACTTCAGGAGCTCATCAGTGTGCTACATGTCACTGCTCGACGTGCACCTTGCATAATTGTGCAGGACATCAATCCAGACAGCGGTTTAGGCGACACGTCTGTCGGCTAGTGTCGACACAAGCGCTGAGCGCTACGAGGCATGTAATACGATCCTATGGCTTTCGTGCTTCCGTATCTACCGCCTTAGTTGTGCAGCATTGTTCGACATCACTTGGTGTATCATCGCGAACTCGCAGCAACTCGTCCCATGCAAGCCTCTGATTCTCTCTCGAGCCTCTGATTCTCTCTTGAACTTAAGCTTCGAGCGGATGGCTTGCGTTTTGCTCGGTTCAGCTGCGAGACGACGATCCGAACACTGGTGTTTGCGATCTGATCGCCCCTCCTCGTCACTTAAACATCGCAATCTGCATGTCTAACGGACGTGTTGTGGTCGTCATGGAGGCGTATCGTTCTGATCCGGTCCAGGATACGTATCAGGAACATCAGCCTCTGAGCCATTGGGTAGTGAGTGAGTGACCAGTCATTGATTGCAACGCTCATCATGAACCTCGTCGCGTACTACCATGACATGCGAGACGGCACGCGAGGCGGTCTGAGTGGTTCAGCGTAGTTGCATGACGGAGGTCAGAAGAAGCCGACGTCGAATCAGGTATCGGGCGTATGATCGCAGCCGTTTGGACCACTTTTCACTTTACCTTCACGTAGTCAGCAACTCCGGAAGCAACGACAACAGCTACTACGACAGCTGTGGTATTCGTATCCTCATGACACACGTTACACGCATCAAAGACTACCGACCTCAGCCAGTTTGTAAAGAGACCAAATGTAGTCGTAAGCATAAAGTGTTCGCATCTCCTGCAAACTTGACATCGCGTATGATTCAGTTCATCTTTCGACGTCGGAAACGCACACAACATGAGCCATCCAAGTCTTGGCCAGGACGAGATGATTGCGTCGCCGTTGTGGAGCCAGTCCCTGCAAGTCGGCCGCCAGCAAGCACGAGTATTGCGATTCCTAGCAGCTCATCGGTATCGAGAAAGCTGACACCGGATCGAGTACCAAGACAAAGATCGGCTGATGAAGGCACGCACAGAACTGGCAGTTGGCGCCAACGACAGACGTACTGCGCCAACTGCCAGCGTCTTTTCTTCACGTCGCTGTCCTCCCTCAGAAGCATAGCAGGTGCATTCTGCTCGCTGGACTGCAAGACCAATCTCGAGTACATACACCAGATT